AATCCAGAGACCCTACAGATCCAGAAACCCTACAAATCCAGAGACCCTACAGATCCAGAAACCCTACAAATCCAGAGACCCTACAGATCCAGAGACCCTACAGATCCAGGGGCCCTACAGATCCAGGGTCCTACAGATCCAGGGTCCTACAGATCCAGAGACCCTACAGATCCAGAGACCCTACAGATCCAGAGACCCTACAGATCCAGGGTCCTACAGATCCAGGGGCCTACAGATCCAGAGACCCTACAGATCCAGAGACCCTACAGATCCAGAGACCCTACAGATCCAGGGTCCAGGTTCTGCTGTAAATGAGTTCGGACAGCATGACATCACAGACTAATTAAAAGTCTTTGTACAGTTCCGGTTCCAGGTCCCGGTCAGGTTCTGGTGCAGCACCTGCGGCTCGGTTCGGGAGGGAACTGTTTGGACTGGACCGGGTTCAAACTGAGGGAGAGAGAGGACGGAGGCATTACGCCACTCTTCCCTTCATGGAAAAAAAAGTGGGATTTAAAGAAGTTTCCTCCAGATACCGAGCAGAACGGTTCGGTTCTGTCAGGGGCTCAGCTGGTACCGGCACCAGTATGGTTCTGACACATGGACGGGACAAACATCTGGATCTGTGTTTGATTTAAAAATACTTTTTATTTGAATCTTTGCTTTAAAACGTTCAGTTCGGAGCAGAAGTTCTGTTGGGTTTTCCTGCAGCAGAACCAGGAGCGGACCTGAGGATGAGACTCGGTTCTGGTTTCAGACCCGCAGGTCCAGAACCTCTGAAGTGACTGTTACCATGCCGACCTGCAGGAGGGTCAGAGGGCATTAGGATGAACGTTCTGACAGTTCTGCTCAGCTGGACTCTGGTTCTGCTGCGGCCCGGTTCTGGTTCGCTCAGCCGGACCAGGTTCGAACAGGCAGCGGACCGTGGAGTCTTGGGGGGATCGTGGATCCGCGTGGGACCGCCGCCGATCCAAGCAGACGCGAACCCGATCAGAACCAAACTGACCGCCGGACCGAACCGGGACCCGCTGCAGCAGGACGGACCCGGGAGTCCGGGGCGCAGAGACGCTGCGCGCTCCGGGCGCCCCAAGCCGCACGCTCCCGCAGCTGCCGGCGCGCGCGCGGCGGGAACCGGAGCCGGAGCGCCGGGAAGAGCCGCGTCCAGAGCGGCCGCGGCGGCGCGCGGCGGGCTCCCGGCGGCGCAGCGGGGACTGGGCAAGAACCCGAACCCGAACCCGAACCTGAACCTGAGGCTGCAGGTGGACCAGAAGCAGCCGCTGGTGGTCCCGCACGACTACATGCTGTCCCTGTACTGGTCCCTGAGCAGCGGGGACCTGAACGGCAGCGCGCTGCACGAGGCGGGACTGGCCAACACCATCACCAGCTTCGTGGACCGAGGACAGGGTGAGACTGTCCTCCTGCTTTATTATAAACATTAACCCGATAAAATATAACTAACTTTACAAACTGAAACAGAATTATTTTAACTTCTCAAACTTTGAGAAAAAAACAAACTTTTACCTCCAAACAGGGGCGTCTCTAGGATTTAAGAACAAGGGGGCTTAGCCCCCATGAGACATACACAGAATATTTGTATATTATATATTTGTATTGTGTGTGT